TTTTTTTTTTTTTTTTTTCGTCTTACTCGTTGCCCCTTTTAATCCGTCTTCTCAAAAGCAGTCAACTGCACATCCTCCAAAATTTAGTTAAAAGCTGCTGGTAAGCTTTCTCCTCCTGTCTTAATCACCAAGACCTGTTATACCTGGAATTTTTAGTTGATGACAAACCGAGTAACCACATAACTTTCCTGAAACCTTAGATAATATCTTCCATTATGCCAGCCAATATCATCTTTATTATCAGTTACTGTAGAATAAACCCATATTTGGTAAAGCCAGTTTCCAATGCATCCTTTGCTCTCTCCCCTTCCCCGAACTGAATATAAAATGGGAAACTACTTGAAACTGCACCTATTCCAGTCAATAAAGAACCAATTGACCAAAGTTAGATGTTGTATGACCCAAATTTACAGGTAACAACTGAAATTTTAATCGACCCAGTTGTCGGAAAGAAAAACTACAAACTCAGTTTTATAAATGAAATCGCAGGTAAATCTTCAGCCCATTTAAAAATGAATTAGGCTTTAATACAGTTCAGTTCATTTTTCAAACTGTAATGACAAGTTTCTGAACGTTCCGTACCACTCTTTTGTCAGCTCCTCTACAATGCTCGGTATTACTTTTCTTTCCTTCCCATTATTTAACACCCTCTTCTGAAAAACAGCACTACCCTTATATAAACTAACTTAATATAACGATCTCATAGCACTTAATTCCTCACAAAAAATTGCAGTTCCTAGTTTCTGATGCCTCATATTCGTAGGACCTGTACTATTTCCCTTATTACTCAACACCAATACAATGTATAGATAAAAATCGACAAAGAACACATAGTCATGTTATTGATTAGTGAGCTAGAAAGTAAAAATTAGATGGGAGTTTCCCAGTAAAGGGCAGAAAGTGTAATCAGCGGTCATCATTACTTGAAAGAAAATTTCTTTTATACCCTTTTTTAAAGAGAAAGAGAACGATATCATCTAATGATAAACGGAGTTTATAATTGGACTTTATTCCAAAAAACATACGTATACCAGTGTTTTTATCTTCCCTTCTCTTCTTTCCTCTTTATTCCTTAAAGACTTCGTGACTTTTCGAAAAGTGCGAATATTTGTCCTCACAAATAAATCAGGGGCAATTCTCCATGACATTCAACAACTGGTAATAGCAAAATTCAAAAAAACTACCCAAGCACCTCGCCTCTTAAAGAATGCTGTCTTTTGACACTATCGGTATTCCAATTAATGCTTCAGGAACCGTAATTTTCTTGTATGATAATTACTTAATAAAACCCTTTAACTCGTTTAAAAAGGTTAAAATGCCTGGAAAATTTAACTGCAACGCCTTTAGAAAAATAAGACACTCTGATATGTGAAATAAAAAAGATCCATATCCCCATACCGCGATGAACAATTCGCAAAAAAATCAATACTTTTAACACGTCAAAGAGTGGACGACCAAAAAAAAAACATGCCTAAAATTAGGAATTCCAAAACGCCTGAAAGCATTACGAACCTTTCAGAAGATGTCACGCACCAACAACAAGACTTTATTTTAAAACAATACTCCTAAAGAATTACTTCTCCATAACTAAAATGGTTCTCTCAAAAACTCGTTTGGCGCATCACACTAGCTAAAAATTTCCGATTAAACTTCATCTTTAAAAAAGCCACGGAGTGCCCATAGTTTTCGAACTCACTAATCCATCAATTGCCCATTTGCCTGCAATTATTTCTGTCTCTTCGATATTCCAAAACTGTCAGTTTTCCAACTACGTAACATAATTCACAAACTAATTACTATGTTTTCAGGAAAGACTTCAATTTTCTCTTCTATGCCAAAATTTTAACGATATCTGAGGTTACAGGTTTTGCCCGCCTGTCAGTATCCATTCAAAAATCTTTCTTCTATATATCACTAAAAATAAAAGTTCACATTTGGATTTTTTTTTTTTATATAGAGCACTGAATGAGAACCCCAAATAACAATCTGTCAAGCCACACAATGATAGTGAACAAATACTTGAAGTGCACAAAACTCTGCGAAAAACAGCCAACTAAGTCTTCCCGAAATTAAAACTGCAGAGCTTCCAGAAATTTCCTAAGCATTCCAAAGTTCTGAGTCAATTTTTTGGAAAAGAGAGAAAATCTATAAAAGAAAAAAAAATAAAGAAAATAAAACATTTGAAAGCACATAATGACTGAAATTTCGAACACAAGGTATGTGGTGCGGTGGAAGTTAAACACAAGACATGCCTGTGTGTCACAGAAATTTGTACTTGGATAAGTATGATGATGACGGTGATGATGATGTGGAAGAATAAACAATGCAGGAAAATGGAATTCCTGTAAACAGTGTAGAGTTTTGCTTTAAAAGATTTTCAACTCCGTAAGGTTATCGATAAAACTAAGGAGTGATGTAGGTAGTGTAACTGAATTCATCATTCGCACAAAAAATAATGAAACTGAATACTAAACCACTTTAAAAAGCAGTTAAGGATTAAATGTGTAGTAGAAGATGGTTATATATTGGTAACAAATTCACCAAAAAATTTAATGATTAATCATCTAAAACATAAATCTTAGCCAAAAAAATCTTAACATTCAATCAGCAACGAAGGAGAAACCAAAAATCGTTTATCGAAGTCTGCAAACACATTGAAACCAAGGTAATAAAACCCTGATTTCTTCTTCTGCCTGAAAATAAATTCAAATAAATGATAAGCAGGAACCTGCCACTCTGCCAAAGTGCTGCAAAAAACGTTGTCTAGACAAAAGGAAACTAGGCATGCAGAGCGACAGCAGGCTGATACGAACAGTAGACAAGAGAAACTGATTACTGGAAAATTTATTATATACATGTGTAACATCATTAGAATAAAGTTGCTATAGAACAGGAAAGAGTTGCCGGTATTTAGCTGTTGTAGACTGAGGCAGAAGTTTCTTTGGATCTATGCCAATCCAAGATTTGTATGATTTAAAATTTTAATTGCGCAGTGATGAAAATCTAGTTTATGATCAGTTTACAGAAAGCACACAGAAAAGTGATAATTTTTCTGTTTTAGTATAAATTTTCTTTCGTTTGTTGAAATCCAGTTGTATTATCCTCCACTGTGTGAACCGAAGCTTTCGTAATTCGTTTCATTTTTCTGTTAATTAATGCCATTAGCGTGTGCTTGAAATAGCATTACCGTGTTGCAGTTGATCTACATGTATGGTCCATTTAGGGTTTTCGTTGGTCTGCATAGATTGGTGCGGATATCTTTTTTTCCTTGCTTTTTCTGCACGCTTACTTGCTGTGATATAACTCCTGTAATGATATAATGAGGAGTTGGAAAAGGTGGTAGATGGCTGGTAAGAAAATTAACGACATTTTTGAATATCAAAAGACAGCAGCTTCTTAAATACACTTCTAAACCTGAAATATTAACAGGAAAAATCTTGTCATAATTTTTTTTTTTGTTACTGACTTTTGCTCCCTCATCACTGATTTCGCCCTCAGTAATTACTTTACCATAGCATCTGAAAGTATGATGCCGTCACTTTATGCCATATGTTCTTTCAAATTTTTCCACCTTATCTGCTTTCGCTGGTGTCGGAACAGCTTTGCTGGCTTGGGAAATCCATGGTTACTGGTAACAGTGCTTGAATGATTGAAAAATTGATAGATGTCTAACAGTGGAACTTAGGTTAGTACAATAAAGGAATGCGGAGATGCTACGCATCTCGGCTTCCTGACTTCGGACGTGCTTGAAAAGGATTTTGAGAAATTGCATAATTTATAGGCAGGAAGCTTCGTTCACTTTAGAGGGGCTTTAGGTGGCTAAACCTAATTTTAGTAGTTAAACTTCAACCGCTTTTCACAGTCTCAAGAGACATGTAGTTGGTGCATGCACCCGCAATACACTCTTGGTCAAAATCCAGAAGGTTTCCACTGTCATTTTAAAATACTCGAAACCATGAAACGTATTTGGGAATGCATTCTAAAATTCCAAAAGGAAAGGACATAAAATTCAACTCGTCATTGATGAGAACGTCAAACACACCTAACAACTATAAGATTACCAGGTTCAGTTACACAGTTTGCAAAAAAACGTGGCTTCCAGACATCCTCTTTATGTTTTTGCATATTAACCACTGATTTATCGTTGTTTTAGTTGCACTCTAGCTATTCTTTCTGCACCGGTTCTGATTTTTTTGAAGCTTCCATAATGCCTTTTTCTTTTTAATCAAATTATAAAACGTGGAAAAGTGGCATGTCCGTTACTAATCTCAAATCTCTACTAGTTTTCTTTCAGGTAATAAGAGCTTAAGAAGATGCCTTACGCTAATCAGCCTCATGTCACTATAACTATGCTCAGCGATGAAGTGGTAAAGTTCATACTGGAAGATACTGACTTAAGTGTTGCTAATTCTCTGAGACGAGTATTTATTGCAGAAGTCCCTACGATGGGTAATAAATGTTTCAGCTGATTCAATTTGCCTTTTGCCTTCTTTGTCAACACTTTTATTCATGCTTTTCATGCTAGTTATCATGATTGCGACATTTTTAGCTATTGATTGGGTGCAGATTGAATCTAATACGAGCGTTTTACATGACGAATTTATTGCACATCGGATGGGATTGATTCCTCTAACCTCAAATGGAGTTGTAGACAAATTTCATTTTTCTAGGGTAAATTTATCCTCACAAACTTTTTTTTTTTTTAAAGAGATGCCATAGGTTTGCTACATTAAAGGCAATTAACTGAATGACATAGTAATTTAAAATCCTAGAGTAATCTGAAATTAAAAGTTTTTTATTAAGGACTGTCAGTGCATGGACTTTTGTCCAGAGTGTGCAGTGGAGTTACGCCTCAGTGTCCGGTGTGATGAAGATCAGACGCGAGCCGTAACCACAGCTGATATGGAGTCGAGTAATGCAGCTGTCGTTCCTGCTTGTGGAAATCATTTGCGCAATCGGAGTGCAGAAGAAACCAATTCTGATGATATATTAATTGTTAAATTAAGAAAAGGACAGGAGATTCGAATGAAATGTTACGCAAAAAAGGTTATTACTTTTTACTGTTAAATTTCTCGAAGTTTTTTTGCTTTCATCATTTCTATTTTGTAAAAAACTGTAGAGAGGAAATAGTAAAAGATGGCATACAGTTTAACAGAAGAAGGTAATGATTCATTTTTCAAGCAGTGGTCTAGTTTTTTGCGTTTAGGTAGCTTCACAGAGTGTGTAGAATTTTAACGAAAAATTTTAACCAGTTTGCGCGTTATATTCTGTTTTGCTTTGCGGTTTCCAGTACTTTTTGCCAGTCTAGCCTTAAATCACTCATTTAGGGAATTGTTTTTCTATTGTTCAGCCGTTTTTTACTTTGAGTGGAAAAAGAGTTTTATAAGAAGCAAAAGAATAGGTTTACATTAGCCGGAAAGAAGAAATTTTAAGAAAGTCAAGATTAATTTAGGAACAAGATTTAGGAATACTACTAGAGGAGGAAAGCATCTGCAGAATGCAATATATCTAAATTATTTTTAAGATTTTTGAAACTAATTTATATTACTTTCTGCCAAGCAAATTCAATATTCTTCTGCAAGAATAATTAAAAGGTGCATTTTTTTTGCGTGTGTGGAAGGAAAGCGTTAGTTTAGAGGTTTTGACGCTTGTTATCGTAGGATGTTTTTTTAGTTTAAAAAGTTATCAAGAATCTGTAATCTAAAATAATGTGCTTCGTAAGTGATTATTGCTAACTACCTCTGACATGTGCTAAGTACGCATATTGATGCGTCTTATTAAGTTGGCAGATACTGTACTAAGACCATCTCGGGGTTTAAATATTTTAGTCACAGACAAAAGAAGTCAGCAGTGTCAGTACGATTAATTTTTCTTAGTAGACTCTACTACCTCACTGTTACGAGAGGTACGCTGTAATACACTGCAACAGTTTTTTACAGTTCGTCTTTGTGTACGAAACAATTCGCACTTAACTATCCTATTTGAGGAGTTTCTACGCTGCTGTTAGAGGAGTAAGCCAAAGCTTAGGCTGCATATCATTATCACATCCTGGCTGTAAGAGCTTGTGATAAGACGGGCATTTCCGAACAGATTAAGAGGATGTTTTCGAACTTTATTATTTAGTTCTTTTTAATGGGTGTTTCATTTTGTAATATTTTTTATGACTCCCAGCTAAAAGTTGCCTTTAAAAGTTTTTGTTTGTTGACAGAAACTGCAAGCTTTTTAGTGCAACCATTTTATCTTTACCTGCTTCAGGTCAAGGGCACTTTCTTTTTGAGACCGTAAGTTGGGATATTTTTTGAGAATTAACGAAGAGTAGAAGATTTTCCGCAAGTTATCTTTGTTGTTCATTTATACTCTATTTAGGTGAATGAGACAAAGTACATTTAAAATGTTTAATTGAAATTTTTGTGCTTCTGAGTGAAATGGAAGCAATTTTTATAGTCATTATCATTAGGGATTTGGTAAAGAGCACGCGAAGTGGAATCCTACTTGTGGAGTCGCCTTTGAATATGATCCTGATAATGCTTTGAGACATACTGTTTATGCAAAGCCTGAGGAGTGGCCGAAAAGTGAATATTCTCAGTTGGAAGAAGACGAATCCGAGGCACCGTATGATATGAATGCGAAAGCAAACAAATTTTACATTACGGTTGAGTCTACTGGCGCTTTAAAGGTGGTTCATTTTCACCGTTACTTTTTCATATTATTGTCGATGCATCATTGTTCATCACGATTAACACCTGATTTTTGTTGAGTCAACTCCTTTTTTCAGGCCGAAAGTATTGTTCTCAGCGGTATTGCAGTTTTGAAGCAGAAATTAGCAGACCTACAGAACCAATTACAGAGAGAACTTTTACATACCGGTTCAGCGATGCCGTAATTATTTTTTCTGTCAACTATTTGTTCTACTGCCTTTGAATCGTTTTTCAAACTGTTGTCGCTCAAGTTGTTGGCTTAAACTCCATAACCAGCTGGCCGAAGATGAACTGTTTCAACCAACTGCCTTTTCTGAGAAGTAAACAATTAAATGCAGAAATTTGAGAAAGACTGGAGTAGTTTTAACAGGAATAGTTGCATTAGGACAAAGTACTTCAATAAGCTGCATACAGTTTCTTTTATAATTCAAGTTTTATTGAATATAGATTTTTTAGAGCTCAAGCACTATTATGGTTCGCTTACAAAAAAAT